GGAAGCACCTTACGACAAGTTGAAGGAAGAGGTACTGCGATGCACTTCGCTTTCAGATAGGCAAGCACTCGATCGCCTGTTAAGCAATGTTGAGTTAGGGGATAAAACCCCATCGCAACTCATGAGGCATATGCAAAGCCTAGTTGCCGGAAGAGAAATCGACAAACGTCTCTTTTATCAAATCTGGCTGCGACGACTTCCCGCAAACATCCAGCAGGTTCTTGCTTTCGGAGATGACGACATTGACATAGAAAGGCTCACCGAAATCGCGGATCGCATGTACGAGAGGTCAACACCTCAATCTGTCGCTTCCACCAGCAGAATACCAGACACTCACGATAGAATACAGACTCTAGAACACAAAGTCGACACCTTACTGAGTCAGTTAGCAAAACTGACTACACGCACACAACCAAGCCGTTCTAGAAGCTCGTCTCGTCGACGTCTTTCTCGATCCCCTAGCACGTCACTACATCGCGATAATATTTGCTGGTATCACCGTAGTTATGGAAGCAAAGCACGACGGTGCCGTTCACCTTGCAATTTTCAGACTAAACCAAAAGATATATCGTCATGTGTAAAAAATACTGTTGGCAACCTACGATCTAACAGTCGTTTGTTTTATGTAACAGATAAAAATACCGGTACTACATTCTTAGTTGACACAGGAGCAGAGGTGAGTGTTCTCCCTCCGTCTACACAGGAACGTCAACATCCTGACCCAGCAGTTACGCTCCAAGCTGTTAATCAGTCCAGTATTGTTACATATGGAAGTAAACGAATGACTTTAGATTTTGGTTTAAAGAATACCTACGCTTGGTCTTTCATCATTGCAGACGTCCCATCCCCAATCCTCGGTATTGATTTTCTACAGCAACACAAACTGTTAGTTGATCCGATGAGCCCCAAGCTTATAGACTCGCTCAATAAAACGTACATTGCTGGTACGATTAGCCGTGCATCATCACTGAACTTGATGGTCACACGCACACCAGCATCTCCATATACCAATTTGGTAAATCAGTTTCCTGACCTTTTAAAACCTTCTTTTCGAGGAACAGAACCGAAGCATCATGTGGTTCATCATATTAAAACCACTGGACCGCCAGTTTTTGCACGTCCACGACGCCTTGACCCATATCGACTTAAAATTGCCAAAACAGAGTTCGATAAAATGCTAGAGCTTGGTATTATTCGACCGTCCAACAGCTCTTGGTCTTCACCGCTTCACATGGTACCCAAAAAGTCTTCTGGTGAGATACGGCCGTGTGGTGATTATCGAGCTTTAAACAAGCAAACGGTACCTGATAGATACCCAATACCACACATCCACGATTTTGCTAGCAACTTACCAAATGTTAAAGTTTTCTCTAAAATCGATCTGGTCCGAGCGTATCATCATATCCCCATCCACCCGGATGACGTTCCGAAAACTGCCATTACCACACCATTCGGTTTATATGAATTCGTACGCATGCCATTCGGACTTATGAACGCCGCTCAGACATTCCAACGCCTAATTGACCAAGTACTCCGTGGTCTCCCTTTCGTCTACGCATACATCGATGACTTACTAATTGCAAGTGCAGACGAAGCCGAGCATTTGAAACATGTGAAGACAGTGTTTGAAAGACTGAACCAATACGGAATGACTATCAACTTAGACAAGTGCGAATTTGGTAAGACCTCCCTGAAATTTCTCGGTCATTTAATCGATAGCCAAGGAATCAGACCAGTCCCTGATGACGTACAAGCTATCAAAGATTATCCATTACCAGATTCTTTTAAGAAATTACGACGATTTTTGGGTCTCGTTAATTTTTACCGGCGTTTTATACCGAACTGTGCCAAAGCTTTACAACCATTAACCGATTGCTTACGTGGACATAGTCGTTCATTCCGTTTGCCCGCAGAAGCTGTTAAAGCATTCGAAAATGTCAAACAATTGTTAAATGACAAGACACTTCTAGTCAGACGCCAAAATGACGCCCCCCTGTCTCTCATGACAGACGCTTCAGACGTTGCCATCGGGGCGGTTTTACAACAGCAAGTACACGGCGAATGGCAACCCCTAGCATTCTTTTCGAAACGACTGAATCCTACTCAATGCCGCTACAGCACTTTTGGTAGAGAGTTATTGGCTGTTTATTTAGCAATCAAACACTTTCGACATATGCTGGAAGGTACAGCTTTTACTGTCTTTACAGACCACAAAGCTCTAACGAAAGCCTTATCAGCAAAACAGGATAACTACTCTCCGCGTGAACTACGACATCTCGAGTTTATATCTCAGTTCACCTCCGATCTGCGACACGTAAAGGGTAAAAACAATGAAGTGGCAGACGCTTTATCACGTGTGCACATTGACAACATTGTATGCCCAGACATCGACTACGAACGCCTCTCAAACCTACAACGAGATGATGCCGAACTAAAAAAGATCATGTCTTCTAAAACAACATCTTTAAAGCTAGACGCAATTCCTTTTGGCACGACAAAAATAATCTGCGACACCTCTACAGGTAAATATCGACCCTTCGTTCCAGCAGCTATGAAACATACAGTATTCGAGAAGTTACATAACTTATCTCATCCCGGTGTCAGCGCTACTATCAAACTAATAAAAGAAAGATTTATATGGCCGAACATTAATAGCGATGTTAAGAAGTGGACACGAAATTGCTTGTCTTGTCAAGGAGTCAAAATCAACCGCCACACTAATGCACCACTTGGTCGCTTTCCTAACCCTGACTCTAGATTTGAACATATACATGTAGACATAGTTGGTCCACTACCTCCTTCCAATGGTTGCAACTACATTCTAACTTGCATCGATAGATTCACTCGTTGGCCTGTAGCAGTTCCAATAGCCGACGTCTCAGCTGAAACGGTAGCTAAAGCTTTGCTCGAAAACTGGATAGCTAATTTTGGTGTCCCATCCATTATCACTACGGACAGAGGTGCTCAGTTTGAAAGTCGACTTTTTCAACAGCTAACTGAATTACTGGGCATCAAACGAATACGAACAACCGCCTACCATCCTAGTTCCAACGGCATGGTTGAACGCCTTCATCGACAACTCAAAGCTGCGCTAGCTGCTTCTTTGACTCAAAACGACTGGTCAACCAAACTCCCACTGGTACTGCTTGGTATACGATCTGCTCTAAAGAAAGATATTGGCTGCTGTGTTTCCGAACTAGTCTATGGAACAACATTACGACTACCAGGAGAATTTTTCACCCCAGGTAACCAAGTTCCACAAGATATGACTGGTTATGTGCACCAGCTAAAACAACACATGAACGAGCTCAAGATATCACTTCCACGCCAGCAGGAACGAACGTCATACATCCCACCACAACTGACAGATTGCACTCACGTCTTCGTCAGGAGAGAGGGTGTACAACGACCACTTCAACCCGCTTATGATGGCCCATTCAAAGTTCTAAATAGAAATGATAAAGTTATCACGATAGAACGGCTGAATAAAGCAGAAGCCATCAGTGTCGACAGAGTCAAACCAGCATTCATCGACGATTTCGAAGCCAACGATAAAGACCAGCTCAACGACGTGCCAACAGCTACATCCACGCAAGCTTCAACGTCGCCAGAGAAGCCTATGAAAACTACACGCTCTGGTAGGAGAGTTCATTGGCCTAAACGTTATGTACAAATCATCAATATATAACTTATTACGAATTTTCATTTTTATTATCTTTATTCGTAATTGTCATTTAACAACTCATTTAACTGATTAATATTTTCATAAGTAAATCACGTCACTACTATTTTAACATCGATATTCCCTGTATTATTACATTTAATCATATAGCGCTTAATATTCACGTATCGTTTCCGTATACAGACTACAGATCCCCGGCTGATTGTATCATTCCTTATATATTCTACCACGATCATCAATCCTATTTTTTCTTTTATTATCGCATTTATTATCGGCCTTATTGACCGCATTAAATTGCTCATTTTTTTCAGCTTAGTAAATCGCTTTCTATGTACTATCGCTGCTACGTATTACGCTGACGCATTTTATTGTCGAACACTTAAATGTATTTTTTTTATATTTCAGTGTTCTGGTGGGGGAATTATGTAGTACCCCTGTACCAACTATAAACATACGTTTTTAATTTAATTTGCATACTCATATTATATGTTTACACATATCGATTTTATATGTACTTCGTAAACATTTGTCAATTTACTGTTGAACGTTACCTTGATACTTTTTCGAAATTTGACTACGGCTATAATACACGATTATACTCTTCACAAGTGCCTTCTGATTTTACGTTGTGGGCGTCGAGTAGCCACAACGTCTGCGCACATTGATAAACGTGAAGAAGTACTAGGAAATACGTGTACGCTCATTTAGTCAAACAGAACACGCAATAGGTTGTACTTCAAGTTTTAGCGTGAACAGTCTTAACGGATGTCTGGTTATTGGTGATATGACCGGTGAACATAATCATCCGTGTACAGAAGAGTTTATGATGGTTGACAATAGCAGACGTAAACTCACGGGAATGCAGAGGGTCATAGTGGATGCTATGGTAGAATGTATGATTTCAAGTTCTGAATTGAGAAATGCAGTTTTCTTGAAATTCGGGAAATATGCCACCCGAAAAGATGCCTTCAAGTTTAAAGAGCAAATGTTTGCAGGTATACATATAAAACATAAATGCTTTATCTTAATTAAGGTATGAACAGTATGGATTCTGTTCTGCAATTATTACGGTCGACAGGAGAGGTCAGGACTATGAGTTCAAATGGTCAGCTTGATGTAATATGTTTCAGTCTGCACCAGCAAATAAAGTTTTATCAGTCTTTCCCAGAGGTAATATGTATTGACTCTACGTATAAAACGAATAATGTTGGGTAAGTTAGTGATAATAGTGTTATTTTTGCAGATTCAGTCTTTTTCAATTAGTTGTAACCGACGGATGCGGAAAGGGTGCTACTGTAATGTTTGCTTTCTGTCGGCGAGAAACTGTGTCAGATATCACACATGTTCTGAGAATGTTCCAGTCCATTATGGGATTTACAGACGGTACAAAAACATTTGTTATGGATAACTGCCAAGCAGAAATTTCTTCTGTGAAGGTTGTTTTCCCGAGCTGCCGAATTATTCTGTGTTCATTTCATGTGCTTAGAGCATTCGGTCGGAAGGTATTTGTGTGTTAGTGATTACTACTGTCGGTTTTTAGTTCCGTAATCCAGACCTACGTTATGCACTTGGAAAACTGGTTACGACTCGTATTAGACCAAAGTAAGTTCTGTATAAAGCAGAAAAATGGTAAATACATAGGTTCTCATATTTCTACTGTTACATACGTCATACGTTCCCCCAGGCATACAACTTTTTAAATGGACATTGGATAAACAACAGGCACATGTGGGCGCGATGCTTTTTCAGAAAAGCACTTACTTTAGGTAACCACACAAACAACAGGGTGGAAATTGCTCGCAGACATTTGAAGCTGCACCTCCGACGAAATGATCCCTTAGTGTTGACTTTATGGAAGGTTCATAATACGGCCCTGAAATATTGGAGACTGCGGTCGTACGCTACTGTGTTTGAATTGCAGAAATTTCGTCAGTTCAACGTAAGTGTAACTTTACTCTCATACTATATTATAGGTTCCTGATCCAATTCAAAGGCAACTGGACAAATTGACACCGTATGCAGCTGCAGTTGTCAACAGGAGTTACGAACGTATTCGCAAACTACGTCATGAATTAGTAGGCAGCAACATAATTGATTGTTTCGATGGAATACAGGACCACTTGGTTGATACCTCCGCTGGAGTGTGTACCTGTCACCACTTCCATGACTACCGTCTCCCTTGTTCACATGTCCTGTACGCCTACTACAAGGGATTGTTCACTGGAGGTAACATGATTTTGTGTATTACAAATCTATACGCTTTCAGATATATTGCAATACAGCCGCAGGTGGTGCAGAGAATACAACCTAAATATTTCCATGAAGACAATGCAGCGAGTTAATATTACAGCTGAAATTCATAAACCTTCCTCACGCTAAGAAAATACCTACAAGCAGTAGAAATCCATTAATTAATGCGTCTGAAGCTTATGTATTTACTCCCAACAATGACATTGCAGATCAAATGAGATAAACATATCAAAATAACACATCAATGAACTATAATTCAAGGATTCTGCACACAACGAAGTTATGTATGAAAATTGACTTCAAGCTTTATTTTTTTTCCCAGGCACTTATAATCCATCCACCAAAGACCTGGCTTTTTGTTAATGCGAAGACAATACTTCTGTATTTCCTGATGTGTTGCACTCACTGACAATCTAGCAGATTTTTCCAACTGTGCACAGAAATGATTGTATATAAGTGAAAAGGCTGTTTTATACTACTGGGATTAACATTTATCAAGTGTATGTATAATCTCCAGCGAACATGTAAGGCATATCTTGATACTGCCTGTAAATTGTGATTGAATTATATGGTTCTATTTCTGTAACAATTTGATGATGCCTGTAAACTGGCGTCCCTCATGTACTGTACTATGAGAATAAATTTATTTATTTATTTATTATGTAGATGAATACGCACAACGGGTGTGGCAGTGTCTTCATCATTTAAAGAAAATTAATGCAGATATTGCGCTTGATGTTATCAAGAGACATTACAGTGAATATGAAAACATTCTCAATGGTCTACACACGTCATTTTAACCGTTGGATTGTTAATAATTTCTGTCGTGTTATAAGATGGACGTTAACGTACAGTGCAAAGTGTAATTGCAGCAATATTTCGCTTGCATTGATTGATATCACCAATTACATCCTCAAGAAGTCTCATTAAAAAATCCAGCCTCCATCTCGTGATGATGATGACGAATTCATTTTCAATCATGTCGAGTAAAAAAGGTACGGTAATCAAAATGTAGCATTACGAACTTTTAAGGGTGGATGACACATCCATACATCTTTCGACATCTTCTGTTACTTTACTTCAGATAGACGTGTTTTAAATGCACACCTACTTCTTTATAAACATTTATATTTACATATAATTAAGAGTAACAATGCAGTCAACTAAGTAATTGATCTGTTTGTTACATATTTGCAATCTACGCCTCAATTCAACTGACATTCTTAGGTACTGCATTTATTATTATTATCATTCTTTTTCATATAGCCATGACTGCCACTGAAACAAGTATATAATACTTATCATTAACAGTCTTATAATATTGCGGCCTCCAAAGCCTCAGGATGGTCGGGGGTGGGTGCCTTGCGCTGCGGGTTGGCCACCCCTCCGCACACCTCTTGAAATGCTCCCATATGACCGGGCGTCTTACATAGCCTCTCCTGAGGAAGTCCTACTCACTGCCTTCACGTGGCGGAGGTGTTTTTCACCAAAGTGAGAGGGCGAAAGCGGATGTCCGGCGCTCTTCACCGGGTTGACTGTCCATTGGATGACAGTCTAGGGGAGATGGCTAAACCCTGATTCCAAACCTCCAACGACTGGCGTATGAAGCTCACTGGAGCTCACCGGCAGACGTATGGACAAAGGGCTTGTTGGATGTCTGGCCCCATTAAAAAAGGCGTATGAACCGAACTCCGGTCACCGGCTGCCAATGGATAGTGGACTCCCTACTCCACTCCTACTGCCTTGTAGGTCACACTTGGTTGTGTAAAGGCTAGAGCTGCACTCTCAAACAAAAGGCCGAGCGATTCTGGGGACATCCCTCGTACCAAATTCCCATGAAACGCCATGAACTCTCTTACAAACGACTCTCAACATGCTACGGCGTTCCCGGTAAGCGACGCGCCCTGTGCTCACCCGGTGGCCAGTGTGAAAAGTACGCCAGCTGGGCAGCGATGATTCGAGATGTTCATGAAGCCGGCTCATCCTCCCGTAGGAGATAGCCGAAGTAAAGTAAGTAAGTAAGTTATAATATTGCACTCAATTGTGTTTACGTTTACTTTATTACAATTTTTAGTTAATCACGTGCAACAGAAGTGACAACAATGTACATGCAGCCTTATGCAGGCCTACATGACCGAACTTCTTTGGAAATTTGGAGACATGGTTCCATCAGATTACGCAGTAAAAGTCGACGCAGGAATGTTACTTTTTCTTATTAATGTGCATTGCAATAAAAATAAACTTTTCCCATAATCAACCTTGTCTTTTGATTTCACATGTTCGTTTCGGGATTTTTAAGTTGCTCAATGTATTTTCTTCACACAACCTTAAACGGTGTTCAGTTTGAAGAAGACAACCAGTCGTAGACATATTACTGATTATCATCATGAGCTGACATTGGTTAGAGAACCACTGGAAAACCAACTAACTGGGAGTACTGCACAGCTGTTTCGTCCTAGTCTAGAACTCTTCATCATTACGCACCCACCGGGATTCGAACCCAGGACCTTCTGGTTAAAAGGCGAGTTCGTAGACCATTAAGCCACTGGGACCCGATCCAATGGCCAGCCCATGAATTCTAACTTCTGCCAATTAACAACATAGCGCAACCGTGAGCCAATGTCTTCGGCGAGTATTTGCCCCCACACTCAACCTGCTGCACCCCACTGGTCACGACTTCTCACTAGAACCCCAGGTAACTACCTACCTGAATAGGGTAAGTCGCTAGTGAGCATCTCATTGATATTCAAGTGTTGGTTTGTAGGGATTTGATTGGTTAGAGAACCATTGGAAAACCTTGCGCTTAATGGTCTACGAGTTCACCTTGTAACCAGAAGGTCCTACACTCAAACCGCCTGTGGTGGGTGCGTACTGATGAAGAGTCCCAAACCCCTGGGACGAAACAGCTGCCTGGTTCTCCCGGCTAGTTTTCCAATAGTTCTCTGACCGATGTCAGCTCACGACGAAATCTTCTAACCTATATTCCTTATTAGATTAAGACTAAATCAATAGATTAAATGATTATTTAAGTCCCTTTGATCTAGAAAAAAAACTACTTCATAAATCATTTAAAACAACCGACATTGTTTAGCCGTCAATCGATTTCATGCTAAATTATTATAACTTTATCTGTGTTTTGCAATCTGTTTTTAACACAGACATGTGATTTTTCAATATGTACTATGCGTAATTAATAATAATAACTAACTACATACTAATCACGGTAATTTCGAAATACATTTCAATACATACCACAAAATGTGACAGTGACATTTAATTATTTTTCTGGTTTTTCACTGTTTGACTCACAGTTTCTTGTGTTAGATATTTGCAGGCAGTCAGTCAACAGTCTCTGAGTCTGCTATGCTTGAGTTTAGGTGATTATTATTATTGTTCCCTTGGGTTCCTAGTGGAACATAGGGCTTCAACTGCACGTCTCCACTTGCTTCTGTCTTCTGCTGTACTTTTCACTTGCATCCATGTTATTCCATACTGTTTCAACTCTTCTTCACACGATCTCCTCCATGTCACCCTTGCACTGACGTCCCACTCGCCTCTTCCCTTTCGGGTTCCACTCGAGCGTTGGCCTGACGCGCGATGTCACCCAGAGGCCTCCTCAGCCATGAGTGTCCAATCCATCTCCACTTTCTCCTGCATATTTGTTGGGCGATTGGTTCTTGTTTTGTTTCTTCCCATAGTTTCTTGTTGGTTGTTGTTCTTTCCGGCCATCTGATCTTCAGTATAGAGCCAGCGAAGACAGTTAGTTGTTGATAAAGGTCTGCAACAGGCTGTTGCAAATATTCTTTGTGACCCGCCGCTAAGTTTCTGATCCATCCGTATAGAAGAACTGACTGACTTGACGTTTGTATTGAAAATCCGAATTTTGTTGTTGATGCTGGCTGGGTTGAGTGACGAAGATTTCCAGATTGGTTTCAGGTTGATGAATGTGTTTCTCGCCTTTCCGATTCTCGATTTGACATCCTCGTCCGTGCCATCTGCCTGTAGTTGAGACAATGCTCCCTAGATAAGTGAATGAAGTAACCTCTTTCAAATCCCTCCCGTTAATGGTGAGTTGAGTTTAGGTGAGCTAGTAGACATAATTCGCGTGTGTTTGTTTATGCAAGATTCGGATAATCCAAGCATTTCAAACACAGAATAATATTGGTTACAGGATTTCATCATGAGTTGACATCGGTTAGAGAATCATTGGAAAACCAGCTGGGAGTAGTGCACAGTTGTTTAGTCTCACTAGTTTGGGACTCTTCATCAGTACGCACCCACCACCATCAGGGCTCGAACCCAGCACCTTCTGGTTACAAGACTAGTTCGTAGACCATTAAGCCACTGGGAACCGATCCAATGGCCAGCCCATGAATTCCAACTTCTGCCAATTCACGACATAGCTCATGATGAAATCCTGTAACCAATTAATCAAATCCCTACAAACCAATACTTGATAAAAAACGGAATAATATTGTTAGGTAGTTGGAGGAAATCTGCACGAACCCATGGACCTGGGTTTTTTGCATGCTGACACTCACCAGTTACCGAGGCGTATCTACAATGCTGAAGAAACTCATATCCCTCTTGAGATTCCAATTAGTGTCACCCAGTGTGGCAGTCAGAGACATTACCGCAGAGCTGTTCGAGCTCGCGACTGACCACCTGTAGGATTGTGCTGGATACTAGTAACTAGTACCCCTGATCTAGTCCTTTGTTCGGTGCAGATTGTATTCTGTCAGGTCATTCGCCAGCCTGAATAGTTCAGTGGTAACATATCAGACTGCACTGGGTGACACACGTTTGAATCTCAAAGAGGACATGAATTCCTTCAAGACTGCAGGCACACCTTGCTGACAAGTGCCAACAAGCACGAAACCTAGGTCCAAGGCTTCCTGCTGATTTCCTTCGACCATCTAAGAACAACATTTCAGAATGCACTGTGATGACGAGCCCCCTAGCATGGTGGTCACATTGCATGCAGACTTGACTGATAGAATTCAGTCTGCACCAAAGAAAGGACGACATGCATAACAGTAGTTACGAACTAGTGTCCAATCAAAGTACAGCATATTTTTCATTACTACAATTGTAAATGGCTCATCAGTGCATCAAACAGTTTACAAGTTGTTATTCTATTTCTGTTGTTTTGATCTATTCACTCTCATCATATGGCAGCAGATATGTAGGATTTGTATCATTATGAAATTAGTGCACGTCACATATTTAAGTGAGAGCATCTATTCTCCTTTTTCATTGTCTGAAATCTATTCATCATGATATTCACTTGGAACCTGAAACAATAAGAACAAGCTTTTACTTTTTTTGATTATAGCTTGATTCCACACCGTATTTTTGGTACAAGTATGGAATTTTCAGCATGTGATATCGTTAGCCCAAATTTTACAGGCCCACCATTGATATCAGGTGTACGCCGGCAGGGGATCGAACCCCGGACCATGTGCATGGTCGGTGAGAGTCCTAACCGCTGTGCCACCGACGCACACTGGAATATGTAAAACCAAAGTTGACATTTTTATATTAAAGTGTAATTCATCACAAAAGTCGGT